CATACGCGGCCTGATTGATCCTGTCCAATATTACTGTCCGGATTATTTGTTTTATTTGTTACACCATGGCGGTTGCTTCACACATGTGCATAAATAATGGCAAACCCATCACTTGTACGCACGCACGCACGCACGGACGGACGCGCTCACCCAAGTCAAGCCGGGTCCCTACAATAAATCCAATCAGTCTAATGCATCAACTGTCTCAAACCACGTTCCCTTTTTCTTCAATCTGTGACCCGTTTACCGGTTCTGGGACAATGCTGTTGCTGCTGCTGCTGCTGCTGGTGTACTGTTAGCTAATACAATTTACCGAATGATCAGTATGATGTGGTGCTGTTACTTTTGCCCGTCTGATCATTTTTATCTACGCCAGTTTTTTGTCTGGTAAACCGAGCCGAATATAGTGTTGCTCACGAGTAACTCGTGGATTATTCGTCTTACGTCGCTGTTGTATTGACTTTAAACAGCAGCAATCACAACAATAACAATGATGATGATAATAATAATAATAATAATAACAGTAACCACCCTGCTCATATTCTCATCCACGTTTCACCAAAGAAATGCTATGTGTGGACTGTTGCACTGTCAAGGAGGCAAACCGCGCCCGGTAGCGGCAGATGCTGGACAACCTTTTCTCACCTACACGGAACACAATGGTCAACAGTTTGAGTGCAAGTAAGCGATCTCACTATGCTCTCACTATGTGCCACAGGATGCATGTGTGTGTGTGTGCGTGTGTGTGTGTGTTTGTTTGCCAGACTGTAACTGGTGCACGAATGATCTCGCGTAAGGTTAATTTTTGAGCTATTTTTTTCTAACACACATTTATTGGTTTACGCCTGAAAGGGAGATAAATTCCGTGGTCTCTCAACGACATATATAGTAAAATTTAAAAAAACAACGGATAGTGGGCAAGAGCTTGTACACCTAGTGATTCTGCTTTTGGGAGATTTTGGGTTGTTGGATGTACGAACGAATGAGAGTGTCCACAGTTTTGAGATCCGGTGAAAAGGTAGACTGACGGATAGAAGTCCCACGAGAATATTTTAAGGGTAACTGAAACTCTTTTTCTTGTTCACTTTTATTAAAAATGTAAAGATACTTATTTCAGGAAGAGAGAAGCGGCCAATCCACGGGGAAGGTTCAGGTGGTGTTCATGGGATTCGAACACACGTCCTCCCCGGGGGTGGGGGGTGGGGTGAGAATTTGATGACATTACCACCTGTGGTCGTCGAGAAAAAAGGATCCGGGAATAAAAACCGCCAAACGGAGTTCGAAACAATAGAAACCGGTATACCAGCTGCAGAAAGGATAAAGTCAAGCAGTTGCTACTGACGAGGGGAATCTATTGCAGATTGGATGTTGAATGGAGATCATTCATCAGTGATTGTTAGACGACCTGAAGTTAAATCCGATTAAGAATAAAGAGCAAGATACGATGTTCCCCCCGCAGGTGAGCGCAGTATTTAAACACCGTCAGGAGCAGTCTTTCTTGCATCAATCGCCAGTCAGAAAATATAACAATCACCGGAAGTTAGGCATTCCGGTTCATCTATATTGGAATAAATGTGTTTGTTGTGTCAGTAATTTTCAAGAACATTCGATAGGATGTAATACATCTCCCTATCTCCCTCTCCGTGTCCATCGCTTATAGACCAAAGTCTATAATTTGACGTTAAGGGCAACCTTTTTACAATCGACATTGGAATGCTGTGAAAGTGTTTCGTCCTCAGAAGACTCTGGCCATATGATGTGCGTAAAATGATAAGTAAGGCCATTCACAATCGTGGGTCGGTCAATTTGTATATATCGACTTGATCATTTTTCATGTTCCCTGCCTGCTCAACACACCACCACCACCATTTTATTCTATCCGTCTCATTCTTTCTCCTAACACGCAGACACTTGTCCCACTCATCAAGAGTACGTTTTGTGCCGGAGGGTGCAGCATGCGGTCCAAATCAATACTGTTTTCATCAACAGTGTGTTCCTCCGAACGTGGCACTGCGTTCCCGATGCCCATCCGGACCTGTTAACCAATACACTGAAGACGGNTCCGACAGAGGGGTAAGTGACTTGTGACTCATCCGAATGGTGCATTGCTTGTTGGTGGTGGTCTACTATCCCTCTTCCATGTTTGGTTCATGAGAGAACGTGTAGTTGCGTTTTTACGATATTGCTACTCATAAGTAGTCAGCGTATATTCCTGAAAATGTTATCTGAAATGCTTCTTCCCTTTCACAAATATAGGTATGCACAAATGCTGGATTTTGTCTTTGTCATTTGGGTTGGACCGGAGATGCATGCCAAGAAGTGACCTCGGTAGATACACAAACATTCCTCTCGGTAGCGTCAAACCGCATGAATTCCGTCAATCGGAATATCTTAGCTAATCCAAGACTGCTGCCTCCTGAACCGGACATTGCCAAACGCATTTGGACGCAAGTGGAAGCCATGCAACGACCAGATTATAAACCTGACAGAGATTATGCTGGTGGTGGTGAGTTTCTTATCTGGATGTATTTTTCAACTTTGCGTATGTGGTGGTTAGTGAATAAATCTGTATACAACTGGTGCATCCCTCCGTTGGCAAGATCATTCTCCCCATCTGTTTTCATTTTACAGAACAAAACGGAAAGACGCAACTGAACACGGTTTACCTCATTGTGATTCTGGCATCCGTGGTCGGTGGAACGTTCCTCTTGCTGTTTGTTTTCATGCTCATATACCGGTAAGTTAGGTTGCGAATTTCTTCCCTTTGACTGGTCGGTTTTTCGTCCGAAATGCTTATCTGTTGCTGAAAAAATGTGAACAATTCCGTCCTCACTCTTATTATTATGTGTAAACGCTACTGAGTATTCTTTTTTATTGCTATCTTCGTCTGATTACAGGCGACGAGGTCAAACCGGATTTGCGCGGAAACGAAATCGTTCCCGTTGTTTTCCTCTGACTGGAAATAACAAGCGACTTGGTCCTCACCCATCTCCTTACGATCCCAAAGGAAACGGATCACTTCGTTTGTACGAGACAAACACGGACGGACACGATTTCCAACTAGCTTTATCCCCACTGCGATCACGTAGCGCACGATCAGCCGGCGAGGAAGACGGTTTCGACTATCACAATTCATCCTATTTGGCTCGTTGGTCCCACGAACGGCGATCTCGACGACATGGGAAGCGGCATGGTAGTCGCGAGCCTGATTATCCCGAAACCGGTGATCGGCATCGAAGTCGTCGTCATCGCCGACGAAAACATTGTCGATCGGACCGGCATAGCGGAGACGATCTGGATCACAGTGGCCGCAGTTCCGGGCGACGAACGAAATATTCCGATGGTAGCTTGGCGACAAATCGACGTCTGCTGGATTCACATGGAAACAATCATTCTGACACGGAACTGGCTTGTAGACAGAATCAAGATATGGAGGACGAAACGAACACCATAGATCGGATAATTAAATTTGGTAGTATGCCGTCATACAAGTGAGCCGTGGATAATATTTGCGCAACTACGACTATCCATTTTCACTATTAATTCGGAATTGTTATTTAATTTTCGAACTCTCCCGGAATGTTTTTTTGTGTTATCATGATGAACAATAACTACAATCTTTGAATGATGATAATTTGAAGAGATTGGAGTATGGCAGTTGAGAATATATGACGATTGCAGAGGCAGCTGATCGGAATTTCTAGATTTGTCAATACACGTAGTAGCATTGACGACCAGTAGACGGGAGGGGGAATTCCACAATCACGAGGATCTGCTGTGCAGTGATGGAAACGGTAACCTAAGCCCCGGGGTACTTGGAGTGATGAACCACGCAGGGCCCCCTCTAGGTTAGGTGTCACTGAATCGGACGACAGCAAAGCTACCTGCGACGAAAGTTCGGTGGTGGTGGCGGGGCTCGAACCTGGGGCCCTAAGCACACCGGTGATAGCGACCACTGCACCACCACTACCTCGGGCATACTTGACAGTGTAGGATGACTGTGAAGGTTATGAAAACGGTTAGCGAAATCATTTTTGTAAGGCGAGTGCTTGTAATCAATGTATTGGGTGTTTAAGCAGTCGGTAGTCGCTGATTCATTTAGCACCACAGTTTTATGAGTAAAATCAACACATTTTCTCGTGTGTCACGGGATCAATGTTGCCTGTGTTCCAACAGCTCGGGCCGTTCAGTTAATATCCATAGGGGGACGCGATTTTGCATTGCATCGCCTCTGTATGAATGAAGTTTTGGTTTTCCCGTGGACATAGCGTGCCTTTTGTACACTGACATGCGTTCGATCTGTTCGTTTGTTTTCCCAAAATTTGCAGGGAAGACAAACTGAAGCAGAAAAGACGCCACGGAGACCGCAACATGGATGCGACCACGGACAGCCGTAAATCATCGTTGGACGAGCAAGCCGGAACTCGGTCTGCTCCGCCCCAGTCGCCTCCTCCAGCGCAATCGGCAGGTCAACTTGTAGCCATGGTTAGTGTGGCTACAGAATGTACTCAGACCAACAACGCATTCAATCCGGGCTGTGGTGATGATGAAGACTCGGCGCACCACGTGAACACCAGTCCGACTAAGAATCCAGGATTGTCTAGCCCATTGTCGTCTGCCTTTCGTACTACCACGTTCAACTCCACGCTTGCTTCCAGCGCACCTCCACCTTTGTTTCCACATACGACAGCTGCTGAATCATTGTCACCATTGTCCACCGGAAATGGTCAAACAGTGACTACAGCACTGACAAAATCGGTCGGTGGATCACATCAAAATGATCTTTCACAGGCTTTAGGTGCCACCGCGGCATTGATCGGGGCTGGGAAAGCCGGTGCGGCCGCCGCGATGGCTGCAGCATCTGGAACATCCAATTCATCCGGTACTAAATCACCACTTTCTGCAGTCGTTGGCGATGGGGTTGGACGTGATCAGTTACACGGTAAACCGTCTCCCAATACGGATACTCTGAATGGCACAGATGAAATGAACGATGTAAGTCACTTTTTGTTTTGTCTAATGAGGACCCAATACTCCGAAGTCATAAAACGTTTCATTGAATTTGAAAGGTCTTACATATAGTGCTGCTGCTCGTTCGGTTATGTTTTATGGTAGTGAGACCTTGGAATGGCAAGTGGAAGATATCCGTCGACTAGAGGTTTTCGATTATCGGTGTTTACGCAGTTTAGCCCACGTGGAATGGAGTAAACGAGTTAGTAATTTGGAGGTAAGCCGTCGTATGTTTGAGAGTTTATCAGGGATAAACCTACTCATCGTCATCATCGTCGTACAGCGAGATACAGTGAAGCGAACTTCCCTGATCACTGTCAATGAACAGACCTACTGGCACATGGAATTCAGATTAATAGATTTCGCTGGCTATGCCTATGTTCAGCGGTCGTCTGCCGCTCTGTGCTTTATTCGCTCTAGCCAATCCGGGCTGGAGGAAACCCTGTAGAGGTCAACAGATGACGTAGAGATTAGGCATGAAGAAATGCACAGGGCGATTAGGTAGAGTAGGTGTCACGTACCTTCCAGTTCGGGGTCCGAAAGACTCCGGAACTCGTTGATTGGAGATATTGAAGGATATGGTAGCGAACCGACAGCAGTGGCTTTCTTGTTGTCATTTCTTATCAGGACGGAATGCGTGAAGTGATATGTATGCAGAGTTCAATTGTGTACTCTGTGTTGGCCTCAGAGATTCACTTTCTTCTCCCTTCCTTAAAATAGGTCCAATCCCTGTCCATCTTAAATTTTACAACTAATCTTCAATGCATTGCGAGTTTAGTAGCGATCAGTGAAGTTCATCTCACTGTATTTCGCTATACGATGATGATGATGATGATGATGTAGTCATGGAATTACGGATTCATTACTATCCTACGCTTAGCCTCATTTTCTTGTCAGACGAGGGAATTTGGGGTAAAGTGGATTTGATTTGGGTGCATTCTCAATTTGCAGTTTGTTTATCGGAAAAAGAGAAGAATGTGTTTTCAAGAAATCATGAATGAAACCAACTGCATAACATAATGAAAAAATAGGTACAGAAGAATAAAATTAATGTATACACCTCCCTTAGTTTGTACCGCATGAATTTAGTATGGTTTTCTACTTGGTTTTTTTAATGTTCAGCTTCTCAGCCAAAGACAACACTGCTCTAGCTCGTCTATTAAGCAGTCATTGATATGTCAGCTTTATTGACTTATTTGTACTGCTATGCGAAGGGTCGGTCGAATGGTATGAATGACGGACATCTGTATCATGTATGATGGAAAGGTGACCTGATAATCTGGAATGCATCGCAGAGCTGTTCGGCAGAGATTCATCGAATTGACCTAACTTGGGATCGAACTCGGAACCGACAGAACGCAAGCATACTTCCACTGCTACTGCTGCGGTCTGGGAGTTAGCATACTTCCTGAAAACCGCTTTGTTCCAGGACAACCAATCAGAACAACGATTGGCGGCCTCAGGTGATTGGTCGGAACTGCTAACCAATCACGACGGTTGACAACAATCCAATCAACCAATCGCTTGATATATGCTTTCTTTTGTCCCCTCACTTTCCTTTAAATAACCATGATTTCCGCATAGCAACTGAATTCCTACACGCTTCCATCTGTGTTCTATTTCACTGCTTGTTGAGTTCCTATCTGGACAAGAAACGTTATCGGTGACGATCCTTTTGAACATCCAGTACCGAGTTAAGTCGTGTGCAACAACTGTATTTCTAATCACGAATATGTTATGTGCAGCCGAGTCAAATGTCTCTAGAAAATCCGATTCCAGTATAGCTGGATTCCAGTTATTCTGTGTGCTTGTGATTTTAGCATTTTAAAATGAACACACCCACACCGCTCCAAATCATTCTTATATTGAGCCGGCTTTTTCTGCGTCTTCTCATTTACAGGTTCATTTCAGCATAGTGATGGAAAACAGCTGGCGACAACCGGAAAAAGGGATTCTCAAAAACCGAAACGAAGGCGGTGGATTGACTTCGAACACCACGTCTGGATCGGGTCATAAATCCAAATCGAGGAAGTCCGACGGCGATAGGCGACATCGAAGACATCGAAGCAGCCACCATCGTCACCATCGACGTCACAAGGGAACCCGGTCTAGTTCACACAGAATTTGTGACGAGGGAGAGGCGGACTGTTGTTCACTTGATTCTGACTGCTCATGTTGTTTGATCGAAGAGGGTGATAAACGCGCTTCTCGTGATCGATCCGGTTCCGTCCAGACGGACGATTGTAAACGTTCCTCGTCGCGCTCTCGTTGTACGCACACACGTCATCCCTCACTGCTTGGCAGTGAGGCCAGTTTGCGGTCGCACAACTCGACTTGTTCGGCTCGTGACGGCAACACAAGCGCCACCTCATCCGGTTCAAGTCACAACGGATTGTCATTGTCCAGTCAATCGTCCAGTTCATCCTCATTTTCCGATCTGGATCGAGCTGGCCGAGACGGAGTCGGGGATGATATGCTCTTGTCTACTAGCTCGTCGTCCAGCACGTGTTCCACTGCCCTAGAGGTCGGCCCGGCCGGTCGTATCGGTCGCGGTACATCCACCGGCGAGAACGAACGATCCGGTGGCGCGGGACGAGATAACGACACAGCTACTGGAGCATCTGAAAGAGAGGTGAGATCTCAGTACTCTTGGTTTTTTTTCAATTCGTTTCTCTCTGAAGGCGATGCAATCATTTCCGAATTCTGCGCACAAACTATATTCTAATCTCTTATCCGATTCTCACGAATCTCAGATCTGATCTATTCTGAATTAACCAGCTTATAATCACACCTCCTCGTAGCTCCTAGATCACGCAATGTGCCTATTTCGAGTGTCTTTAATTTTCTTCGAAATGACAAAGAATGGGTTTTGATTACTGCTCGCTTTTAAGCCTCGACAGAACTATACAATCGCAGGAGAGAGAGTGTGTGTGACACATCAGTTGATTAAACCGGTTACCCATCTTGATTGTTCATGCAGTTTTGATGCGATCATCTGGCCTGTTGTCCGGTTATCTGGCCACCTCCAAGTTTGGATAATCCACTTTGTTTGCATAGTTTAAGGTGGCGGATCAGAAGGAATGCTGTTTCGATTAAGCATCTCACATTTGACCGTAGTTTGTTGGGAGCTTACAGAGATGACCTCTTGATATCTATTCAATGGATAAAGATAGACTGTCGGTGTTTGAACATCGCTGTCTACGCAGTATTGCACAAATCTGGTTGTGTAGCCGGACGAGCAATGCTGAGGTCAGGCGCAGCGATTCAGGTAAACGTGGTCTCCCACTGGAGCAAGTGGTCGACCTCCATAGATTAAGTTGGTTGGGACATGTGTTACGCATGTCCCAAAATAGGTTGCCACGGCGAACGAAGTCTGGCGAGGCAGGCAGTGGGCGGGAAAAGGTCAAGGACGGTCAAACGTAGACCTGACATGAGGGTATGAAAACCCTAACCAGGAGTCTAGGTAACATAGGTCCCGTTAGGCTCCCTGGCTGGGGGCCTCTGGATGATCGTAACCGATGGTTAGAGACACTGAGTGATATGGCTGGGTGTCGTAAACAGTGGTATTCGTGCATCTTGTCAATTTCTCTGTATCATTAATCCACTGAACTTTTCAATTTTCTCTCTGATCCTATTTTCAACCTTCCTGTTTTTCTCCTATTGTTCACCCAAATGGGCAACCAAAAAAAAAACAGTAAACAAAAGCAACGCACGGAAATGCATGCTTAATGGTTGTTCGAATTGAATGAACTAATTCAATGCTCCGTGCCGAGAAGATGCCCCACAATTGTATGACTTTGTTAGTCTGTTTTCTCAATCAGGCCGGATGAGGAGATCCGGTCAGCTGGTACGACCGGTGGAACTGGGTCCACGGAAGCTATATGAACTGATCACACAACAACTCAATGGTTGATGATAGCAGGCACTGCGCACTGACCATGTAGGATGAGTGAAATACTTTGAGTTCCACAGCACAAATTGTGGGTAGTGTGTTGGTAAAGCCAATCTTTGGTGAAGAGTAAATTGATACCGTTGTTGAAAAAATAGGGTCTCGCATATTCAGAGTGCGTACCAGTTATGATGCAGTCAGTCTTTTTTCGAGATTGTGTATCGGTGATCTGGTTTCGTTTCCAGATTCTT